CCCCAAATAGCTCTTCGACCGAATGCACCAAACGGGCCTACAGATTCACGCCAGTACCAATCTCATCTACTTTGCCAGGCGTAAACTCCTACTGATAGTAAAAGCAAAAAGTCTCGCAGTCAAACCAAAACGACCTCCTTGAACATATTCATGACACTCGCCCCTGGAAGATTGGCCTCCTCAAGTAACAGGCGGAACCTCTCGATAATCTCCCCATCCATAGCACCCTCCACATAGCAATGGCCCACCAACTTAAACTTATTCCCGCCCACATTTCTCAAGATAAAAGGCAAGTGACTCCCAGGCACCAACGTCACCCAGTCGCCCGCCTGCGCGTCTCCTGGCGCCAACCCAATCTGCCCCGCGACCGTCGTAAATACGCGTCTTCCGGCATTCGCATGACTCGCCAGAGTCGCAAACGGATGATAGTCTGGGCCCTGCTCTCCACGCGAGACCCAGGGTGGCTCCGACCCGTCACGGGGATAGTGCGCACAAAAGGCGTCGTAAAAGACCCTGTCGGCCGGGAGAGAGCGACGGTCACCCAGCCCGAGGCCGGCGGTGACGGTGCGCATCACGACGTCCTCGATGGTGCCCGGTCCGGGAAGACGGTTAAAACGCTCCTGGACTTGGCTTGCGAAGAGAAAGGCTGCCTGTTCCACGACGATAAGCATGCCCTCGAGTCCGACGTTCATCTCGGGGATGGTGAAATCGGGATATGTCACAGCCGGGCCGAGGGCGCTGATCTTGTCGGCGGTGAGGGCGCGGAGTATTAATTCGCGGCCGTTGGCTGAGAGGCGGATCTGGGCGTCGGCGAAGGAGGTGGTGCCCGAGGCGCGGTAGAGGCGGATGTCGAGAGAGGCGCACGGTTCCGTGGTCCAGTCGGGCACCCACGTTGGGAGGCTGGTGCTGGCCGTGTGGCTTCCTGCGAGGGCGAGCATGGCCATGCAGTTTTTTGCGGACGTTGCGCAGTGCTGGGCCAGAGCCAGGAAGACCCGGTCGGACGTGTTGGACACGGAGTAGTCGACGGTCGGAGAGAGGGCGGCCCGGTCAGCGGTTTCAATGAGCCCCAGCAGAGAGAAGAGCTTGTCGCGGGAGTCGCTGGCCTGGGCTTTGCGTGTGAGGCGCAACGTCTTGACGAGGTTGATGCCCTGGGGATTCTCGCCGAGCGTGGTGCGCATCTGACACCATGCGTAAGCCTGCATCGCCGTGTGGCTGTTGGCGCCGCGTGCTGCCGCTGCCAGGGCCTCTCTGTTCCGATATGGGCCTGGCAGCTGGACTTGGTGGATGAGGACGCCGAGCGTGTCCAGGGGCACCGTGATGTGTCGGTCTTCGTTCCCGTAAAGACATATCATCACCTTCGAGAGGACGGCTTCCTGCGTGACCCAGCAGCGCGTGAACCAGGGCGATGACCAAAAGCGCCGGAAACTCGCTCCGCCGTCGCTAAAGGCAGAACCGCCCGAACTCGGGTTGTGCTGGTTGGTCGCCGGGTCGTTCCCGACAGACGTATTGGACAGCTCCGCCATGGCCTCGATGGCCCGTCCGGGATCTTCACCCTCGGCTGGCGATCCGACATAACCCAGTGCGCCCCGGGCACGCTTGTAGATTTCGGACATCATGGGAACCTGGGCGTTCTTCTCGGGAATGTCAGCCTGGTTGATGGAGATGGCGTCGGCCCAGAGCAGGACGCGCTCGTTCTTGTGCCAGAGAGAAGGCGCGTCGTTCCGTGTAACTGCGCGATACACGGACCGGAGCGCTTGCATGAGGTTGCTGGTGATCTTCAACGGCACCCCGTTGACGAGGATCGTCTCCCGCGGGGTGGGATCGCCCCAGCAGTACGACAAGGCGACATACGGTGGCGCCTCGTCCAAGCGAACCGCATCGAGGACGAAAGACGGATGTTCTCCATCTAGGGACACAAGCGACAGCAGGCGAATGTGAAGGGTGTTTTGCGGTAAGGGATCGTAGTGAAAACCTTGGGTCCTGGAGCTACCACCACTGTCTGGCGCCGAGGGTTGTGATGCTTGGACCGCTGTGGTTTCGTTGGGATTCATTGGAACTGATAGCTGCTTTCTTTCCGCCTTAGACCCGGACCTTGATGAGAGCCTCGCTCGTAGTCTGTCAAAAAGTCGAGTCATTCTTCCAGACCATGATCGGGTTTGAGGAGTCAATGGTTGGCATCTTGGCATGCACGAGAAGAGCGTCAAGATAAACCCAACCCAAAGGCATGGTCCAGCGGACGGCGTCAGTGACACGACCGTTTTAGCGTAATGTCTTGACACGTGATTGGGTGATCGCACCGGAAAGATCGCCATGGCCAACTGGGAGTCCACTGCTAAGACGGGATGCAATGTTTCCGAGTTTGTATTTGCATCTACGAGCTTATTGCAATCGCCCAGTCAAAGTATCCAGCGTTAGCGTCCCCAAGATATCGACATGTTTCCAAGATTTTCGCATCAACCACGGATTCCCAAATGGGACTGCAAGGGAAGCCTTTCCCCCTCCGAGGTCTCGGACCGATTCTACAATGTCTATTTTGCGCTGCGCAGCGAATGGAAGGACGGCATCGCGCACTGACGAGCGCCAGTTGAGAAGGGTCAAGAGGCCCGCGAGGGAGCGCCAGAATCTGCAACATGTCGAGGTATTCCTGGGGTAATGACGTGGGCGGCTCCTCCTCCAGGCGCTTCGCGGGCTGGTGACTCCGGGATTGCAGACGGAGACTCGGGAGACTCGGGGACGGCAGGTCCTGGGCACAGCGGCGGCCTATGGCGTCTGGCCGCAGGAAATCATCAGGACTCGTGCCAACGGATTTTGATGAGGTCGCGGAGGGCTCTGCCATGCAAAGACGGAAGGTGAAACCAGGTTACGTTGCAGGGTATTAATTTACAAGCGCCCCGGGCTCTTGGCTCACCCGCTCCCCGGAGCTGCGGCAGGACAGCCGAAGGCCTCTACCCCACGTTCCCCGGACCATGAGGCTCCGGGCGTCCATCAGAACGGCACTTGCCCACCCATGACCACACCAAACCGGGCATGGTCGCCGACGAGGTGCCATCAGAGACAAAACCGTATTCCACCTACCACCAATCTCGCCAGGGCTTGGGTGCCTTCGACCACGGTCCAACCCATCGCGTTGCAATCTCAAGGCTGGACGGGTTCGGGATTCCGGGGGGCCAAGGGATGACGGATCATGACGAGCGGCGGCAAGGGTGGTTGAGAAGAAGGTTCATCTTATCTCGTGCACATCAGACGTAACGGCGGGAGACGACATACTCGGGCGTCAAACCTAATTGCCCAGCCATCATGGAGATCAGACGAAGATTGTGCATCCCCATCAGGCCGGCTCTAGTTATATATACCGAGTAAGCCTCCCTTCTCCCCGGCTTCCATCTGCACTCTTCCCACCACCCTCATCTCCTCAGATCACCCACCCACCACCATGAAGCTCCTCGCCCCTCTCGTCGCCGCCGGTGCTGCCAGCGCCCACACCATCTTCACCTCGCTCGAGGTCGGCGGTGTCAACCACGGCACGGGCAATGGCGTCCGCGTCCCCTCCTACAACGGGCCCATCGAGAACGTTCTCTCTGATTCGATCGCCTGCAACGGCAACCCCAACCCCACCCAGTCCACGTCCAAGGTCATCACCGTCCAGGCCGGCCAAGACGTGACGGCCATCTGGCGCTACATGCTCAGCACGACCGGGTCGGCGCCCAACGACATCATGGACAGCTCCCACAAGGGTCCCACGCTCGCGTACCTCAAGAAGGTCAACGACGCGACCTCGGACTCGGGCATCGGCGGCGGCTGGTTCAAGATCCAGGAGGACGGCTTCACCAACGGCGTGTGGGGCACCGAGAAGGTCATCAACGGCAAGGGCCGCCATACCATCCGCATCCCCCAGTGCATCGCCCCCGGCCAGTATCTGCGGTACGTAAATACAGGACCAAATAAACCCCCTTTTCTTTGTCCACACGACATGGCTGGAGCTCCGGGAGCTCTTCCGGCTCCCTCGGCGGAACAAAGCCAGCTTAACAAAGACCCTCCGCTAACGTATCTTTCTAGTACGTACTAGATCCCTTGCTGACCCAGGCAAGGCCTCTATCTCCAGCCGACTGGGGGCTCCCGGTCTTTGAGAACTTTACCTCTCCCTCCACCGTGTTAGGGTTAGGGTTAGGGTTAGGGCTAATTTGGGGGTTTCTCACAGTGCGCGCCGAGATGATCGCCCTTCACGGCGCCGGCAACTACCCTGGAGCTCAGTTCTATCAAGAGTGCGCCCAGATCAACGTCGTCGGCGGCACCGGCTCCAAGACGCCCAGCAGCACCGTCAGCTTCCCGGGTGCCTACTCCGTACGTATTATCTCTTGGGAAGTTCAAAGTCTGGAAGACATGATGCTAACCCACCTACCCATCCGCAGGGCAGCGACCCCGGAGTCAAGCTCTCCATCTACTGGCCCCCGGTCACCAATTACAAGGTTCCCGGCCCTCCCGTCTTCACCTGCTAAGCGGATTAGAGGCGTGGTGGAAGGAGTCTTGAGGGGTTGGTCTCTGGGATGGAACGTGATGAACGATTCTGTTAGGAGGGAGAGGTGGCGGCATTTAATCTTCTCGTATATAAACTTCCTGCATTCTCCCTTGCGGAAGCGGTCTGCCTTTGGGTGGCGGCTCCGGTAAAAGGGTTTACTTTTGAGCTGGTGGTGAAATCGAAGCGGCGTGGTACCGTACCTGTACAGTTTTGTGCCCTCGCATGTGAGATGAGTTCTGGATGTTGTCTGGCAGCGCAGGTGGTGAGCGCATGAGGAGGCACTGACAACTTTCAGTCTCACATCTCTTTTGTAATGTGTCTTGTAGGAAGGAGGAGGTATGATGCAGCATGCTGAAGTCCTTTGCACTGTGTGTGCACAGGTGAAGAACAAGCGGAAAATTGGACGCACTGTGCAGATGAGGCCAAAAAAAAAAATAGCCTGGACTTGACAGACAAAAGTCCATCGAGCCCAGTCTCATGTGCTTGGGGGAGCTGGGAATCGAACCCAGGGCCTTTCGCTACTCACCAACCGCTGTGATAAGAATGTAGATCGCTATGGAAAACAAAATACAACGGCTAAGGCGAATTCGCTAGCGCTCTACTACTAAGTACTCCCCCGGTGGACATTCCCAGTCTATGAGGACTGAGGATGTTGAAAAGAAGAAGAAGAGAAAAAATCTCCCGAGGGGGGGGACTCGGTCTTTATCTAGGAGACCGCTATCACGTGTGAGGGCTAAACCTCTCGAATGACGCTCGATGGTGACGTTGACATGGCGTCTTCCCTCGGGCCCCGGCCTCTCTGCCCCCTCTCCGCCTCATTGCTCCTCGTGCTGGTCTTTGCCCTGGCGCACAAACCACCAGACAGTCAACCTCCGGGACCGAGGTCCCCATTACTCCCCGCGTCCCGAAGGTTGAGCTGAACTCCCTCAGCCCGGGGACACTGCACCGTCCCAAAATCCGATGTCACAACCCCGCGCGCTTCCTAGACTCACCCCCGTGGCCTGCCCTTCAACGTGCACCTTACGCACCTTCAATCCTTACTCGTCACGCCATACTCCTCGTCCTCGTAGATCTTGCTCACTGGGACGCCGCGGTTCTCCGCGACGAGCCCGATGAGCTGCTGCGCGACATCCTTGGTATCGTTGTACTCACGGAGGGCGTGGATGTAGGTGTTGACGATTTGTTGGGCGGTTTGACTGCCCGCGGTCAATGTTGGTTAGTGACATTGACAGGTGATGGGGAGTTGTTAGGATCACTTGCGTGGGAACTGCGGGGGGTGAGGAGGCCTGGATGTCCGATGGTTTGGGCTCAGAGACCGTGGGGTCCGGGGCGGGATTGTCTTTTTGGTTGGTGGGCATGATGAGTTGAGATTGTCACGGGGCTGGTCGATGATGGAGGGGAAGTGTTGTGGTGACAAATGTTGAGGATATTGTCGTGTTGAGACTTATCGATTACCGTGGTGATGGTCGACATGCTGCTTCCAACTCGTGGGCCTGAGTGGAAGTTTGTCTAATGGAGTTACCCACATTGCACTAAACACTCGAATCGGCTTAACGGGGATACGCTGGTATCGAGGCCCCCCAAACCACACTCTGGCAAAAGGTCTGGAATCAGCTGCAGATCATAGATCCCCAAAAGGGAGAATCGACGCTGGATGGATTGTCCAACCTACTGAACCGCTTCAGGTTGCCCTCAGCCCGCTCGTTCTAGCATATGCCGAGAAGACCCTGCCTGTCTGCCTGTGATTGTTCAACTATCCGCCCCAAAAGTTCTTGATCGCCGAGCGCTGACAGATACTGGGAGGCTCTCAATCACCCGCCACTCTTCCGCTGCCCAAAAAGATCCGTGATGCTAAGCCGCCTCCCAGCTGACAGTCCGAACACCCCTTCCCCAGCCGGTGCCCCTCCCTCATCGGCATCCGTCTGGTCAGCAGCCGCCTGCTCGGCCTCGGCCGCCTCCTTGAGCGTCTCCATGGCCAGTCGTGCTTGCGCCCAAGCCCCGCGAATAATAGTCGTGTTGATCTCGCGCGTGGTGTCCTCGTCGGCGTGGATCCAGATGCCGATGACGTCCTTGTCATCCACGCCACCACCATCCCCAGACGCATACCCCACACCGCCCCCGAGCCGGAAGGTGATGAGCTCGCCCGTCAGTTCGCAATCGCTAACCCTCACCAGATCCAGCACCAGGTTGTCCAGCCCCCGCCGGTTGAGCACAAACACAGACTGCCGCGGCAGCGCCTGCCCCGACGGCGTGACTATGGGCTCCTGCTCGCACACAAACATGGTGCCCTCGACGCCGTGCTTATCCCAGTTCTGCGTGGCGGGCGAGAAGGTGTAGACGACGGCGTTGGCCGCGATGGAGAGGACGGCGCGGATGCCAGGCAGGTAGCGTCGCAGCACCGCCATGTTCAGCTCCATGTTGATATTGTTATCCAACGGAGTGACCGGCGGTACTGCGGCCCCGCGCGACTCCGGGTATTGTACCGCGTCGGACTCGTAGTCGGATGCGGGTATCTGTCGATGATTGCTGGGGCCGCTGCTGCCGTTGCCACTGTAGCTGGAGTTGTTGCGGTGGCCGCCCCCCCTCTTACGGGGAGTTTGCTTGCTCATCGTGTCTGCTCGGGGTGGGCTCGGTGATGTGAAGGGTGCTGAATCGATACGGAGTATTCGCTGATCACTCGGTGGTGCCGTCGTTCACAAATGTAGGTCGTCGAGGTCGTCGTGGGTTGGGCTTTCGTTGTTTGGCATCTGTCGCTGCCCGTCCTCGCGTCTTTGAAGAATGGAATACGGAATAGAGTGCTTGCAAGAGGGTTGGCCAATTTTCGATGGATGGGAGGAATGGAAGTTGTAAGCGCGTAGCTTTTTCGGCCGTGGAGAAGGACAGGATTGAAGGGAGGCCTGTCTGTTGTCGAGGTCGCAACACCCAATCCGGCCGGCCTCTTTGGAGTTTGGCAATCCTCCCCCCTGCTGAATGGGCGATGCACAGTGTGGGGTGTTGCGAGGCCGGGGGCCAGCTCCCCAGGGACCTCCGATAAAGGCGCGGGAGCACGCAGATAAGGTCTGAGAGTCTTGGCAGCTCCCCTCCACATCGTCATCGCTCAGCGCCAATCCTCGCGGGAGTCAGCGTTCCTCATCAGTCCATCCCGTCTCTCGCAAACCTAACACGCCCCCCTAAAATCAGTTCATCGGGCACGCCTCTTGATCAAAGTAAACATAAACGGAGAATACCTTCCGCCCTGACACCCATCCTTTTCCCTCCCTCACCCACACCTTATCCATTGCTAGACTCGACCCCTCCAAATTACCCGGCGACGTTCCTCGACGATCCTCGACCTCCGAATTCAATTCTCGACACATCCTCGATGACCATGACCAGCCTACAGAATTCTAGGTGACGCTCGCGACGCAACCGAAAAAAACAACACCTGTTCCTTGCTATAGCCCTCTCCAAGAGTCGCGCTGCTCGACATGGCGCCCTCCGAACCGCGACCTCCGGATTCGACCACGACCGAGCCCGTCGACCTGACCTCGACGAACTCTTATTCCCTCCACCAAGCGGTTCGCGCCCGTCGCTCCGAGTATATCCGACCTCACCGAATACGCATCAAGATTGGCACCTGGAATGTCGCCGCCTCTCCCGGCACCGACAAGGATCTCGCCAGCTGGTTTGTCGACGGCAAGGGACTCGACCTCGGCCTGTCGTCGCTCATCACGAACAACTCGGCTGTGGAAACAGAGGATAGCGGGGGCAGACCGGACGGCGGCAACGATGCGGTGCACCTCGTGGGTGGCAGTAAGATTGGCCTATACGTGCTTGGTCTGCAGGAGGTAGTCGACTTGAACACGGCATCCCAATATATGACGCGAGTCTACGCTTCCGATCCTGGGCCGATGGGGAAATGGAAGGCTGCCCTGCAGGACGCGCTACCAGAAGGATATCAACTCATCGTCTCGGAGCAGTTGACGGGACTGTTGCTGTTGATGTTTGCTTCCCCAGAAGTGGCGGCAACCGTCAGCAATGTCAGCACTGCCACAGTTGGGACTGGGTTGCTCGGCTACCTGGGCAACAAGGGAGCAATCGTCACGCGCATTGTTCTGGGAGAGACTACTCGCATGGTCTTCGTCAACTGCCACCTCGCAAGTGGGCACGAGGCGTCGTATGTCGATCGTCGCATCTGGGACGTCGGGCAGGTCCTGAGCCGGACACAGTTTACCCCCGTCACCTTTTCCGGCGTATCGGAAGACGAAGGGGAAAATATTGGGGAGGAAGATTTTGCCTTTTGGTTTGGCGACCTGAACTTCCGTCTCGACGGTTTGCCCGGCGACGATATCCGACGACTCCTGATGCTTCACACCAGGGGCGAATACGACCTTGCCAAGAAGGGACTCCCTCGCGAGGACTCTTTGGAGGGTGAAGGGGTGGTTGTCCAAAAGAACGATGACAGCAGCGATGACGAGACGATTGATCTTAAATTGACTAGCACTCAATCGACCGATCGATCTGATATAACCATCCCGCTCCCTGACCCTGACGACTTCCTTCCCGACCCGCACGATGATCCTGCTTCGCTCCAGGCCACGCTCGATTCCCTGCTGCCGCACGACCAACTCAAGCGCGCGATAAGAGAACGAAAGGTGTTCCACGACGGCTGGCGGGAGGGCCCGATCACGTTTCTACCATCCTATAAGTACGATGTGGGCACAGTCGGCCTCTTTGACTCGAGCGAGAAGCGCCGCGCCCCCAGCTGGTGCGACCGCATCCTCTACCGCACGCGAAGAGACAAGGACACGTACGATAAGAAGGTCGAGGAGGAGGCGCAGGCGCGGAAAAAGGACGAAGAGATGAAGGCGCAGGGCATGGATCACGCTGCCGACGACGACGAAGTGCTGTTTGACTACGACCCCGATAACGACGGCGACGAGCAACCACCGCTAGCTGGCCTGCAGTATGACGAGTACGAGGATGACGAGGAGGGCGGAGAGGAAGTGGTGACCAAGGAGGGGTTTGTCGACCACATCCAACTGGAGATCTATACCTCCCACCAGCGCGTCACATCTTCGGACCACAAGCCGATCGATTCGATATTCACCCTTGACTACGACGCCGTCGTCCCAGATCTGAAGGCCAAGGTGCATGCTGAAGTAGCACGGGAGCTGGACCGGGCAGAAAATGAAGGACGCCCGGGCATTACGATTGTTGTAGATTCGCAGGAATCTGGGAGGTCGGGAGATCGGCAGAAGTCCTCGGAGATCTCGGTAGATCTTGGCGAAATGCGGTTTCTCAAGAAGCAGGTCTCTACGCTGACGCTTGCGAACACTGGGCGAGTCCCGGCCACCTTTTCCTTTGTCGAGAAGCCCTCTACGGAGGATTTCGATGCTCCGAGCCTCCCACCTTGGTTGACCACGTCTTTCATCCGCTCCGAAGCGGCGTCATCCGAAGAGGATCCGGCTGACTTGGGCAAGGAGGTCACGCTCGAGCCTGGCGAAACCGTGCTGGCTCAGCTGGAGGCGTTTGTTGGAGACATCCCGCAGGTGCGGATGCTCAACGATGGACAGCTCAGCCTCGAAGAGGTGCTTGTGCTCCGGGTGACGGATGGGCGGGACCATTTCATTCCCGTC